CTGGCCAAAAAGACCAAAAATCGTTATGTTTCTCCCTCATATTGCGGACATTAGATCAAGGGCAAACCACAACAAGGGATTGACTTCTTGAGCACATGATAAAAAGCGTAGCACACAAGGGAGGAGTGAGGATAGTAAGACACCTAAAAAATTAGTTAGCATTTGTTGCCCTTAACGCAGAGAAACTAAAGCAGAAACCTTAAAAGCAACTGAGGCCAATAGGAAAAGGGGACCAGGAACTAGAGAAAAGGTGAGATCATTAGAATTAACCTAGAAGGTAACACACACGCACAGGAAATTAATGTGAGTCAACTCCCTGTATAGCTATCCTTATCTAACCAGCAAAAACCTTGTTCCTTCCTATTATAGCTTATACTCTCTACAACAAAATTAGAAATAAAGGCAAAAATAGTTTCTGCTGGTATTGAGGGCTGGTAGGGGTGAGAGGAGGCGGAGTGGGTGGTAAGGGAGGGAGTGGGGGCAGGGGGGAGAAATGACCCAAGCCTTGTATGCACATATGAATAATAAAAAAATAAAATAAAATAAAATTATTTTTCTCTGGCAGTTTTTTTTAGATCCCTTGAGATTTGTTACTGGGATAATCCTGTTACCTGCAAACAAAAGATTTTCCTTCTTCCTTCTTTTGTCTTTTTCTTATTGTTCTAGCTAGTACCTGCAGTATGCATTGAAGAGAAGTTGTGAGATCATATGTACTAGACTTGTTTCTGGTCTTAGGGGGAAAGCATTAAATGTTTTACCATTAAGCATAATATTAGTTGTACACAGACGCCATTAACCAAGTAGAAGAAATTTCCTTCTAGTTATAATTATGTTTCTTTTCAGGGGAGGGCTAGGGTTTGCACTCAGGGCTTTGCACTTGCAAAGCAGGCACTCTACTGCTTGAACCACACCTCCAGTCCATTTTTCTCTGTTTAATTTGGAGATAGGGGTTCATGAACTACTTGCCTGGGCTGGTATCGAACTACAGTCCTCCTGATCTCAGCTTCCCAAGTAGCTAGGATTACACGCACGAGCTACCAGTGCCCAATTTATCTATCTTTTTAATTACCTATCTCTTGACACTCCAAATGAATGGGAAATGGCACTCACTATTATTTATTTGTATCCCTGGCAACTAACATCTTTTTATGTGCCTTTTGGCTATTTGCATGTCTTCTTAGGAGAAGTGTGTATTTAGATGCTGTGTCATTTTTAAATTGGGTTCTTTTTACTTTTTAGATTTCCATATACATTTTACATTCACATGTCTTATTAAATAACGTGCTTTGCAAATATTTTCTCCCTTTTTTTGTGGTACTCAGGTTTAAACTCAGGGCCCTACACCTTGAGCTATTCCACCAGCCCTTTTTTGTGTTGTGCTTTTTTGAAAAAGGGTTTCACGAACTATTTGCCCGGGCTGGTTTCAAACTGTGATCCTCCTGATCTCTGCCTCCTGAGTAGCTAGGATTACAGGCTTGAGCCACCAGTGCCTGGCCTCTCATTTTTTTGTATTGTCTCTTCTCCACTTGATCTTAGCTAAAAGGCTAAGAAGTAATGTATTGCCTTTTCTCCTTCTTGATGGCAACTTTGTGGTACAAAAGTTTTAAATTTATCTATTTTTTTTTCTTTTGTGCTTTTGGTGTCAAATTTTAAAAACCATTACCTAACCCAAAGTCATGAAGACTTACATTTACGTGTTCTTACAGGAGTCTTTGCTTGGAACTAATATTTGTACATGGTGTGCAGAATGTGTCCAGCATCATACCTTTGCATGTAAAACTTAATTGTCCCAGCATATTTGTAGGAAAGACTCTTTTCTCCACTGAATTACCCTAGCACTTCTGTCCAAAGTCAATAGTCTGGGCTATATAGTAGTTCAGTGGCTCAGTAGAATACTTGCCTAGCATATACCAAGCCCTGCACTCAATCCCTAGCACCAGAAAAACAAATGACCACACATGTAAAGGTTTATTTCTGGACTCTCAGCTTACCTCTATTGTATAAGTCTGTGGCCTTATGTTCATACCACACTGTCCTGATCATTGTAGTTTTACAGTATTTTTTTAAATTGGGGACTGCGAGTCCTTTCATAACCTATTTCAGGTAATTTTTCTGTAATATGTAATGAATGGGACAAGGTTTCTTTTGGAAGGAGTGGAAGCAAGAGGATGTTAAGGTTTTTTTCCACTGTAATTGACCAAAAATAATCTTTTCTTTATTGGATTATCCATCCTATTCAATTAATTTTTGTGCCATCCTTTTGCTAATACACTTTTTCATTAGTATAGTTCCCTAGAAAACCTTGAAAACAAATGTGAGGGTTCCAAAAATGTATTTTTGTGTGTGGTAGTGGTACTGGGGTTTGAAGTGAAGGCCTCATGCTTGCTAGGCAGGCACTCTTACTGCTTGAGCCACTCTACCAGTCCTTTTTGTGGTTTTTTCAAGATAGGGTCTTGCAAACTATTTGCCCAGAGCTGACTTCCAAATGCAATCCTCCTGACCAGCTAGGATTACAGACATGAGACATTGGCACCTGGCTAAGGATTCCAACTTTGATGTTAATTTTCAGAACCATTTAGGGTGTTCTGTGTTCTTTGCCTTTCTGCATAAATTTTAGAATCATCCTATTGATTTCCATAAGAAATCTGGAAATTTTTATTCAGATTCAATTGAATCTAAAAATAAATTTGGGGAGAATGGGTATCTTAATATTGATGGTTCTGATCCAAAACCATGTTTCTATGTGTGTTCCCCCAAAATTTGTATGCTGAAACCTAACACCAACTTTGATAGCATTGAGAGGTAGGACATTATGACAGTGGTTAGGTCATGAGGGCAGAGCCCTCATTAATGGGTTAATGCCTATTCATTACTTTTGTGTCACTATGACCAAAATGCCTGAGACAACAACTTCAAGAAGGAATGACTGTTTTGCTCATAGTATCAGAAATTTCAGTCCCTAGTCCTTGGCTCTGTTGATTCTGGGCCCATGGTGAGGAAGAACACCATGACAGCAAAAACACGTGGCAGAGGAGGTTTTTCAGCTCAAGGTGCACAGGAAGCCAAGAGAGTGAGACAAGGACCAGGGTTACCCTCAGTGACCTATTTCCTCCAACTAGGTCCCATCTCCTAAAGTTTCCACAACCTCCAAGACCAGCCCTGGGTAAAAATGCAAGACCCTACCTGAAAAATAACTAAAGCAAAAAAGAGCTGGGGGTGTGCTTCAAGTGGTAGAGCACCTGCCTGGCAAGAGGGAGGCCAAAAGTTTAAACCCCAATACTGCCAAAAAATAAAAATAAAAAGATATTGTATCTTAGGATGATTCTTCACAGTCTTTGAAATCACCATCAGTTGTGTAAGCCTTCCTAGCTGAGACCCTAGACAGTATGAGGCAGAGATGAACCATGCAACCCCATTGTGTCCTGTCCAAATTCCTGCCCCAGAATCTGTGAAGACAACAAAATGGTAGTGGTGGGCTGGCAAAGTGGCTCAAGTGGTAGAGCACCTGCCTAGAAAGCATGAAGCCCTGAGTTCAAATCCCCAATACCACAAAAAAAAAAGCTTTAGTGGTTCTACACCAGTCATTATCAACATTTTTCTTCTCAGAATTCCTTCACACTCTAACATTGAACACACCCAAAAGCTTCAGTTTCTGGGCACTGTATCTATGAATACCTAACATGTCAAAAGTCAGGATAAAAATTTTATTATTTACAATTCACTTAATATAAATAATATGCTTAAGTGACTTTTGCAAAACAAGAAAACAATTTTTTAAAAAGGAGTGACATGAGCCATGTGCAGGTAGCTCACTCCTGTGATCCTAGCTACTTGGGAGGTTATAATCAGAAGGATCATGGTTTGAGAACAGCCCAGGCAAATAAAGAGACTGCATCTACAAAATAACCAATCCAAAATGGACTGGAGGGTGTGGCTCAAGTGGTAGAGCACCTGCTTTGCAAGTGTGAAGCCCTGAGTTCAAATCCCAGTCCAACCAAAAAAAAGTGGTATGCTTTATGCTTTTGCAAATCTTTTTTTTTGGGGGGGAGTGTGGGTAATGCCGTTTAAACTCAGGGCTTCGTGCTTGCAAAGCAGGTGCTCTACCCATTAGCTACTTCTCCAGGTCCTCAAATCATTTTTGAGACAGGGTCTCAGTATGTACCCCAGGCTGAATGTCCTACAAGATTAGTCCCTTTAGAAATTTGTATTCAAATAGGTCTCTGCTCTGAACCCATATGTGGTACAGTTTTACCAGTTTTTACCTTTATAGAACAGTAACAGGGGCCTTTGTTTTAAGGAAAAATCCCAAAGTAGTCTTCAAAAAACATAATTCTGAAAATCTGGTCAACAATTACATAGAACCCAGAAATGTGAAATTTTTGTGTAGGAAAAAAAACCACCTATTGAGATTGAAAAGCATGTTTTCAACTTTGGGTTCTGGTTTTTGTTGTTGTTGTTGTTTTTAGTTAGTATAAGAGATCAAGGACTAAGCCAGAAACTGGTGGCTCATGCTATAATCCTAGCTTCTCAGGAAACTGAGATCAGAAGAATCACCATTCCAAGACAGTCCAGGCAAAAAAAGTTTGGTATGCCCCATCTCAACAGAAAAAAACCTGGCACAGTTGCAGATGCCTGTCATCCCAGAGACAGCAGAAAGCTTAAAAATAGGAGGACAGAGGTCCAGGCCAGCCTGTGCAAAAGCAAGACCCCCATCTCCAAAATAACCAAAAAAGGGCTGGAAGTGTGGCTCACGTAGTAAACCACCAGCCTAACACGAAGTCCTGAGTTCAAAACCCCAGTATACAAAGTGTTCTTAGGTTTGTATGAACTTATGGTGGTGTAATATAAACACCATCACCCTAATGTGACTTTTCTAAATGCCTGTGAGGAAATCAGCTTCTACACTGCCTACCCCAAACTTGACTGTTGTTAGAGCCCATGGGGACTACCAGAGAAGCCAGTGTCATTAGTTTTCAAATGAGATTCCCCTAAGTGGGAATTCACATCTAGTGCAATCTTTTTAGGCCAACCTCTTTCAGTAACTCAGGCTCTGCTTGTCACCTCAAAGGTGTATGTGTGGATCCCCTTAGAGCTATGACATAAAATTGTTTCCTCAGTGTTTGCAACCATGAGAGACAGGAGCAGACCTTGGAAGTCCTGTATGTGGAAGAGCCTTGAAGCGAGGGTTCAGCGTTAATTGTCATCAGCCAGGAGCAGGGCATGTTGCGTGGTGAGAAGAGACATTTCATGTTTTTCTCAGCCTTTTGATTTAGATCTTCTGGAACTTCTTTCTCTTCCTTTACACCTCCCTCCAAAAAAAAAAGATTTAAAATGGAATGAGTTTTATCAGCGAAGTACCTGTATTCCAGTCAACACACAGTCAGCCCTTTGCATCTGCATGTGTATAGCCTTGTTCTTTACTCTAGAAAAAAAAAAAAGAGAAATTTTGATGGTTCACCATGTGTGAAGACATGTGGCCAAGGCAAAGGTATTGGTAAAAGCTGAGTGTGTTTGTTGTGGAGCTCAGGGGGGGGAGGGGGGAGTTAATGGGGATTTTACTTCTACCTCAAAATGTCACACTTTGCCCCAGCATGGTTGCGCTCACTTGTAATCCCAACATTCAGGAGGCTGAGACAGGAGGATCTGAGTTCAAGGCCAGTCTCCATACTGTCTCTGTCTAAATAAATAAGTCAGGTGCCAGACTCACCCCTGTAGTCCTAGCTACTCAGGAGGCAGAGATCAGGAGGATCAGGGTTCTAAGCCAGCCTGGGCAAATAGTTCTTGAGCCCCTATCTCGAAACACCTAACACAGAAAGGGCTGGTGGAGTGGCTCAAGTGGTAGATCACCTGCCTAGCAAGCCTGAGGCCCTGAGCTCATAATCCCAGCACCACAACCATAAATAAATAACTTTTAAAGTCCCATTTTGTCCCCACAGCTAAGAGGATGTAAATATTCTTACACCACTAACAGTACCTTGTTAGGCTGTAACCACTGTGGTAACAAGAAGATCCTGACTTGGTGTTTTGGGATGTAGATTAAGTTTTTTTCTGTTTTAAACAGAGTCCTAACGTTTAAATTTAATACCATCAATTCAGTATTTCATGAGGCTAGTCTTTTTAAGAGGCTCAGGTGGCCAGACTAGTTGAGATTTCTTTTAATCACAATCTCCAGTTCCCGGTGTCTCTATTAAGTAACATGATCTTCTCACCTGTTCTTAAATCCTTCTGTGTCTACACAGGTGTTTTACTCTTGGTTGTGTCTGGAAAAGGCAGAAGATGATGTTGAGATTCTTCAAGCTCTGGTTTGGGGTGACCAAATGAAGTAATAACAATCCTAAATCGCTTTAGAGTCCATCTATCTCCCCATCAGCAGACTGCGATTGTCACTGTTAATCCCAAAGTTCCCATGGTGCAGATGTAAGAGCCAACATCCCCCTGGCCTTGACAAGGTCTATTCTTCCTTTACAATCTTACTGGTTATTTCCATTTCTTGGTAGATAATATCAGGTGCTGAGGATGAACCTCGGAGTAACTGTTTTGTTTTGAATACTTGCATGTAATTGTTCAAACTGGACAAATTGGTCAAAGCTGGCCAGTCTGTAATCCTACCTACTCAGGAGGCAAAGACCAGGAAAATCGAGGTTGAAAGCCAACCCAAGCAAATGGTTCCTGAGCCCCTATCTCAAAAACACCCAACACAAAAAAGGGCTGGGGGAGTGGTTCAAGTGTGAGGCCCTGAGTTCAAACCACATTACCGCCAAAAAAAACAAAAAAAAAACTGGAGTGAGGACAAATAGGTCCCTGACCTCTGGGGAATCTTCCCTTGGGTCGGGGCTGGGGAGGCAATGACCTTTACCCCCAAGAGAATCTACAGAGGATCAGAAGGGAGGCATGGACTACTCTTTCCTACCGTCTGCACTGTCCCCTTGTCGTCTGGGGACCTTTGGGGTGAAGGACTTGGGCTCTCGCGGACCGCTTTACCTCGCTGGGACCAAGAGCAAGCTATCTGACTTCCTGTGCCTTTACTTCCTCCTTCTTCAAATGAGTTAAAAATTTTTTTTAAAAAGTCGCCCAAGCCCCTGAGGCCCACACTCCCACGGCGCCCCTGGCCGGGGTCCTCAAGTGTCTACTGCGCTTGCGCGAGCCCAGACCCCGCCCCTCGCAGGCCGGACCGGAAGCGGAAGCGCGCGTGCGTAGCGCCGCGGTCGTCGGAGCTGGGGGTTGCGAGCCGAGGTGGCAGTGGACGTGGATTTTTGCAGCCGTCGGGGTCGTACGGACTCTTGCCTAGGTGCGTCCCGCTAGTCGGGCCCAGTTGTGGAGAAACCGGGTAGAGGCCCGAAGGGCAGCGCGGCGCCTCTTGCCCACGGTGGCCGGGCCGGGCGGCGGCAGGCGGCGTCAGTTCCGGGAGAGGCGAGGGTGGAGCCGCTGGTCAAGGTACGTGGACAGGACCCTACCTCTGTCCTGGTGTTCTCTTTAAAAGCCCGCCCCGGAGTCAGACTTTTCTCCTGTGTTTTTTGTTTTGTTTGTTGTTAAGAATATACTCTTTCTTGTACCTTACGTTCCTCGGTTAATTACTTTCTTGGGACATTTGGTATAAGTTTACGGACATACTTTGTACGTGTCTGTCTCCTCCCCCTGTTCATGGCTGGTTTTGCTACCTTCGGTGTCAGTTCGCAGACATTTCTCTCTCCCTCGTCCCCTCACCTCTCCTCGCCTCTCCTCTTCGCTCTCCTTCCATCGTCGTCGTCTTCTCCCCCCCCGCCCCCATGAATGTACCTTTAGTCCTCGGTGATTGAGAGACGTTTGAATTCTCCTCTGTATGTTTTTGTGTGTGTTTGTTCATATGTATGAACCTAAGTCTTCAAGATGGACTTTTTGAATTTAGGGGGTGTGACACACAGAGTAGGATTGCATCTGTTATTATTCATAGATAGGACAGTAAGTACGCAGATTGTTTGCATCATTTCACTTTCCTGTCCACAAGACAGTGAGTTCTGATTCTCACCAACACTTGTTATTTTTAATTTTACCCATTTTTTTTTTTTTTGGTACTGGGATTTGAACTGAGGACCTACAGCTTGAGCCACTCTGCTTGCCCTTTTTTGTGATAGGGTTTTTTTTTTTTTGAGATAGGGTTTGCAAAACTATTTGCCCTGGCTGGCTTTTGAACTGCGATCCTCCTGATCTCTGCCTTCTGAGTAGCTAGGATTACAGGCAGGAGTCACCAGTACCTGGCTTAATTTTAGCCATCTTAAGAGAGGGTCATGGCCAGGCATCAGTGGCTCACGTCTATAATCCTAACTAATTGAGAGGCTCAGATTGGTAGGATCATGGTTCAAGGCCAGCCTGGGCAAATAGTTCTGAAGCCCCCCATCTTCAAAATAACCAGCCTGAATGGACTGTAGGTGTGGCTCAAGTAGTAGAAGGTCGGCTTTGCAAGCATGAAGCCCTAAGTTCAAACCCTAGTTCCACCAAAAAGAGTGTCACCAGGCACAGTGACTCATGTCTGCAATCCCAGCTACTCAGGATATGGTTGGAAAGATGTCAGTCCAAGCCCAAACAAAAAGTTACTAAGATCCCATCTTAACCTATAAACTGGGCATCGTGGTACACACCTGTACACAATCCTAGCCGTGGTGGGAGGTATAAGTAGGAGGATTATGGTCCAGGCTTGCTGGGCAAAAATGCAAGACCCTATCTGAAAAATAAACCAAAAAGGGCTGCAGGCATAACTCTGGTGGTAGAGCACCTACCTAGCAAGCATGAACCCTGAGTTTAAACCCCCAGTACTGCCAAAAAAAAAAAAGTGTAAAGTAGTATCTCACCGTAGTTTTGTTTTGCATTTTCCTAGTGGCTAGTGATACTCAGCATCTTGTCATGTCCTCTTGACCTTTGTATATGTTTTTTAAAATGTTCATTCAGCCCATTTTTTTAATTGTGTTTTTAAAATTCAGTTGGCTGAATTCAGCCTGAAGTTTTCAGGCTTAACAAATTTAAATTATTTTTTAAATCATGATGCAATGTTGTTTTTTTTATTACCTTTACTTTTATTGAGAGGATCATATTGTTCTTTCCTTGATCTGTTAATGAAGCAAATTATATTTTCCAATTTTTATTACGTTAAACCCAACTTAATTCCATTGTTTTGTCTTTCTCACTTACTGATCTATTTTGTTTGGACTTACTTTCCTTACACTATGTACATCTATGTTTGTTGAAATTTGCCTGTAATTTTATTTTCTTACAATGACCTTACCATGTTTGATAACGATATGCTAGTCTCAAAGAACATTCCTCCCTTTATATCCTTTTTTTGTTTTTTTTTTTTTCAGTATTGGGGCTTGAACTCAGGCCCTACACCTTGAGCCACTCCACTAGCCCTATTTTTGTGATGGGTTTTTCGAGATAGGATCTTGCAAACTATTTGCCTGTGCTGGCTTTGAACCATGGTCCTCCTCATCTCTGCCTCCTGGGTAGCTAGGATAATAGGTGTGAGCCACTGGTGCCCAGCTTGGTTTGGATTGTTTAGGCCAGTTGAACTCAAGGCCTTGTGCTTGCTAGGCAGGTGCTCTTCTACTTGAGCCACACTCCCAGCTTTCTGCTTTGATTATTTTCAAGATAGGGTCTTGCTTTATGCCAAGACCAGCCTGGACCTTAATGGTCCTTTTTGTGTTTCCCTTGTGTAGCTGGCATGACAGGCATGTGCCACCACACCTAACTTTTTTCCATTGAGATAGGGTCTTGAAGGCTTTTTGCCTGTACTGACCTCAAACTGCTATTCTCCCAATCTCTGCCTCTCAAGTAGCTAGGATTACAGGCTTTAGCCATTATGCCTAGCTTTTGTCACTGTGTAGCCCTGGCCTCAAGCCTGTATCCTCCTGCCTCAGCTCCCCAGTGCTAGAATTAACAGCTGTGTACCATCACACTCAGCCCCTTTTGGTTTTTTGACCCATTGATTTAATAAGAAATGAAGTCATTTGTTCTACAGTAAATGAGGATTTGACTATTGCTGCTTTATGTTGTCTATTTCTCTTATGTTTAATATATGAGTTGTTAGAGCTAGAATGTTAATTAGATTCAGGTTTCACTTCATAGATTAACACTTAAAGTTAAAAAATAGTATAATTAGTTTTAGAATTCAAGGTTAATAATTACCTTTATTCTTAGACAACAAAGACATCCTGTTTTCTTCTGATATAATTTCTGTTATTAAATCATTTGTCAGATTATTTGTTTTTCCTTTGTAAGGGACTTAGATTTTTCCCTGGCTGCTTTTAATATTATGGGGAAAACTCAAACACCAAAGAAGAAAAACCTATAATTTCATTGTAGATTTCTTTTTATTTACTTGGCTTGGGATTTGCTGTACTTCCAGGACCCAAAGGTTAGTGTCTTTTACTAACTCTAGAAAATTTTTAGTAATCTCTAGTTTTATGGTTATTACAAAGTTCTATGATATGGTTAATCCTCACATTTGGTTTCTCATTTCACAAGTCTATTTTCATTTCTAAAAATTATATTTTTAAAAAACTTCTTGACAGTTTTTATAGTATTTTATTCCATACTCATCCAAATATCTCTTAATTTCTTTAAGCCTGTTAAATGCATTTTTTTCATATTTTGTGTCTGTAAAGTATAATATCTAAACTGTTCTTCCTCTTTTTATTCCTGTTGCCTGTGGTTTGGTTGCTTCTCACATATGGTACATTGTGTATTGGGTGTTTTAAAATTTTTTAACTATGATTTCCTCAGGTTCCGTAGAACTGTAAGAATTCCTTGTGGCCTGGTTTAAAATCAAGTTTTCCAGAGGTAGATCCATGAGTTCCTTGAGGGAAATGCCAAGTAGGATTATCTTTAAATGAAACTGTTCTTTTGAGGTATTTGAACGATGTGAATAATTGAAATTGGGCCAGAACCTTAATGAAGCATTTGTGTTTACAAATCCTCAGGAGAGATTCTTTAACTAGTATGCCTGACAGATATAGTTCCTTGCTACACTCTTCATTTCCATAAACTTAGCTTCCATAAAGTTTTACTTTCTTCAAAAAAATTTTTTTTGGAGTACTGGGATGAAACCCAAGGAGATAGTGTATAATCAGCAAACAGGGTCTCAAAGGTGGCTTCTGAGTAAAGGAGACTTGATTTCATGTCCCAACTCTGCTGTAGGGTTTACAGCATTAAATTTTACCACAGCCAACTGTGGTAACTGCTGTTCTGGAATGCATTGCTTTTATTTTGAAATTAAAATATGCTCATCCGAATGAAATACAGGTTATAGTGATTTCTAATCTTTACAAAGCCCTTATGAATTAGCAGTTATTATTCTACTTAATTTATATATTAATTATTTGACAATCAAACCCTCCAAAGTCTGTCCCATTTTAGATGAAAGTCTGTCCCATGAGAAGATGAAGAGGTATGGTATAAAAATATTTCAGACTCATCTTGAAGATTTCCTGGCTGTAGTAGACTCAGCTCGTTCCCCAGTGAGTTCTGGTTTCTGCCATGGTAACAGGCATTTATTGACTATAGGTTTCACTGCTCACGACGGTCATGGCTATAAGACTTATAAGTGGTTCCAGCTAGGAAAAAGTTCAAAACAGAAAAAATAGCAAGTACATATTATATTCCTTATACTATATTTCTTAATCATACTATGTTCTTGGATAGGAAAACAAATCTAACTCCTGTGTTTGTGAGAAGAAGCTTTCACACCTGGTAATGGTGAGCCTATGGGCTCGACTCTCATGGCTTCTCTGCTCTCCTCTAACTGCCTTTTTAGGACCCTGCCCAGCACACAGAAGAATGGCGGCAGGACTGCTGACGGCCTGCTCACAGGTAGGAAGGAAATCCTGTTTCCAACACAACACTGCTGTGCCTAAGGAGCACCTCTCCTACCATGCCTCAGTCTTCCCCAGTTGTCTAGGCTTCTTAGATGGGAATATCTAGGAAAGGCTTTGGGTATATGTGTTGATTTTTTTTGGCTGTTCATTCAGATAAAGTAAAATGCCATACTTTCTCTGATGGGAGCTATGAAGAAAAATTTTCAATAGGAAAAATCATTATTCGTTCCCATTCCCCAAGTACTTCTCCCATTCCTACAGTGCCCTATCCATACTGGATCTGAGAAAGACAGAAAGAATCCTCACAACACAAATGTGGCAGATCAGATCACACATGTTTTACAAAAACTGTGAATGCCATGAGATGAATAAATGGCCCTGGGGTTAGGATTTAAAAAGGAGAAGTTTGATACCTGAGCCTTGGGGCCTCAGATGCTTGTCTGATTGAACTGCCTGTGCCTTGATCCCTCCCCCAGTCCTGTCAGTTTCTCCCACCCTCTTCCTGGCGCACAGCTAATTGTGGTCGGTGTCAAACAGAATGTGTATGTGGTGTTTTAGAACCCAGTGACCTTCCAGGAAGTGGCAGTGGACTTTTCCCAGGAGGAGTGGGCACTGCTGGATGCTGCTCAGAAAAGTCTGTACAGAGATGTGATGCTGGAGAACTTTAGGAACCTGGCCTCAGTGGGTAAGCCAGCCTCATTGCTTCATTTACTCATTTGTTCACACCGCAAGCATTCTTCAGGACATATTCATTCCATGGTCTGTGAAAAGGGCAATATTGAGTGAACACAAATGTGTGGATGGGCTTTGCCGCTGTGGCCAGTCTAGGGCTTCCCATGAGACTGCACAGATCTCATCTTCTCTGTCATTAGAAGGGTTAAGTGATGTGTAGTCTGTCTGATCGTGGGCATGGGTTTCGAGGGTCACTTCCCTGTGGGCATAGAGTGCTTGTGAAGGAGTGCACTTAGAATCTCTGGAGGCCAAAGTTTTGGAGGGTTTGTTTGTTTTCTTTTTTTTTGTGGTACTGGGGATTGAACCCCATGCTTGCTAGCCAAGCGCTCTACCACTGGAGCCACTCCCCAGTCCTTTTGTTTTTTTCCTTGTACTTTTTGCCCAAGCTAGCCTCCAACTGTCATCCTACTATTTCCACCTCCCAGGTAGGTAGCCACTACATGGCTTCTTTTTGAGATAGGGTCTCACTGACTTTTGCCTGGGCTGGCTGTGAACCACAATTCTCCTTTTCCTGCCTCCTGAGTAGTTGTAATTATAGGCATGTACCAACATACCCTATTTTGTTTGTTCTGCAGTACTGGAGTTTGAAGTGAAACCCTCATGCTTACTAGCCAGGCACTCCTCCACTTGAGCTACACTCCCAGCCTTTTTTGCTTTCGTTATTTTTCAGATAGGATCTCCTACTTTTTGTCCAGGGCTGACCTGGGACTCCAGTCCTGCTGCCTATGCTTGCTGCATAGCTGGGATTATAAACATATATCATCATACCCCACTTGTTTGTTGAGATAAAGTCTCCCTAACTTTTTGCCGGGGCTGGCTTCAAACCATGATCCTCCTGTCTCTCTTCCTGAGTAGCTGAGATTACAGAAAATTCCTGATCTTTTGGATTCCAGTTTGTAGAAAGTCATTTCCTACATGGTCCTCAGACATCCTGTCTCCTCACAAGCAGGGCATCAGCTCTGCAAACACAATCTGATCTTCAAGGTAGAGCAGGAAGAGCTGAGGACAGAGGAGAGAGGAATTCCCCAAGGTGTCTCTACAGGTGAGACCCGGGCAGAAAGGTGATACTGTATAGACCAGGCTTGGCTAGCAAGGACTGGCACATGTGGGAGTGAAACAATGCAGGATGGAATGCTGAGGCTATAGATGATCTGCCTTTCTCTTTCACTGTCTAGCCATTCATACTTATATTGGGTCTCAGAGAAAGAATTCTTACATGTTCTTGTTCAGTTGTCCCTATTTTGCTTCCCAGATAATACCATGCTTTATTTTCCCAAGTCTCCAGAATCCTTGCTAAGTAAAGCTCCTCCCATTCCCATTGCATGCTCCTGTCACTGACATGTCTTCCCAGAGCCAAACTCCTGAGTTACGTTTTTAATCTGTGGTTACATCTTCTTTCACATTTTCTTCCAGTTACTGTTAAAATTTGAAAACAAATCAATACGTGTCTGCCTCCTTTTTTTTCTTTTCATCCAACCTTCCCTTCCAATAATTACAAAAATGTTCCTGTGCCTTTTCAGACTGGGAAACTCAATTTAAATCAAAAGATGCAGTTCCTATGCAGAATGCTCCTGGGGCAAAAACATCAAATGGCATAAAAATGGTAAGATTTCCTGGTTCTGTACAGAGTCTGGGAAAGTCAGTGGGTTAAAACATCACTCAAACCGGACAAAAGTTGAGGTGGTGACATTTACTCACCAGAAAGCTGCTCAGGAGACAGTTTGAGACTCTCATTGGGATTGGAGAAAGCACAAAGTCTAGTTCATTGCTTGCTGCCTCACAGAGAATACTCACAGGCAAACGTGCTTAAATATGACTCCAGCATTAAGAATTTAAAATATAATTCACTTATTCTTTTTTGTTGTGCTGGGTTGCATCATGACATTTATAAAGTTCTTATAATGTATCAAATATATCGTAGTTGAATGCACCCCCTCCACCATTCTCCTTTATCACCCTCCTTCCGCCATTCCTGGAATAGTTTCAGCAGGTCTCCTTTTTCTATTTACATACATGTGTACACAGTATTTCCACCATATTCACCCTCCTACACCCTTTCCTCACATCTCTCCCTTCCCACTAGTACCAGCCCCTCAGACAGGACCTGTTCTGTCATCCTGTTCTCTAATTTTATAAAAGAGAAACAACAAATGACATTTTTGTTTGTGTAAGGTACCTATACATTGGTTTCCTTGTGACATTTCTCTGTATATATGTATTGTAACCTGAATTGGTTCATCTCTTTTATTTTTCTCCTTTCTACCTTAGTCCCCTTATGTGTGATTTCAACAGATGTAAAAATTCTATATTCAATCTTGTATAGGAACTACATCAACCGTATTCATTTTCTTCCATCCTCATAGGTGATCTCCACTTTTGTGACCTGGTATTCATAATATTGCTTGTATTTGTGTTAAGTCTATATTCCACATAGTAGAGAAAATATGAGATTTTTAGCCTTCTAAGCTTGACTACTTCACTTAAGATGAAGTTCTCCAGTTCCTTCTGTTTGCCTGCAAATGACAATTTTTCATTCTTCTTTTGTGGCTGAATAAAATTCCATTATATATAATACCACATTTTCTTAATCCACTCATCAGTAGTAGGGCATCTTGACTGTTTCCATAGCTGATCTATTGTGAATAGTGCTAAAATAAACATGAATGTGCTTGTGAATAGTGCTAAAAAACATGGATGTGCAGATGTCTTTATTATAACTTGACTTACATTCCTTCAGGTATATCCTTAGGAGTGGAATTGCTAGATAATATGGCAGTTCTGTTTTTTAGTTTTTTGAGGAGCCTCCATATTGTTTTCCATAGTGGTTGTATTAATTTACATTCCCACCAGCAGTGTATGAGGGTTACTTTTTCCCTCATCCTCACCAACATTTTGTTGTTGTATTCTTGAGGTAACTATTCTAATAGGAGTGAGGTGGAATCTTAAGGTGGTTTCAATTTGCATTTCCTTTATGGCCAGGTATGGTGAGCATTCCCTCACCTGTTTTTTAGACATTTGGACTTCTTCCTTTGAAAAAGTTCTATTCAGTTCATTTGCCCATTTCTTCACTGGGTCATGGGTTTTGGGGGAGTGTAAGTTTTTCAAGCTCTCTATGTATTCTGGTTATTAATTCTTTTCAGATGTATAGCTGGCAAAGATCTCCCATTCTTTGGGCATCCTCTTCAATTTTATAAATATAATTCACTCACTCTTAACTGTATTGGACAGAATATTGAACTTATTCACATTGAAAAGCTAATACAGCAAGAGTTGTACCTGTTTTCCCATCCATTGAGTAGGCTCAGGCAGGAGTTGAAGGCCAGTCTAAACTAGTAGAACCTATCTCCTTTAAAAAAAAAAAAAGTCATACACATACCCTAAAAGTGATAAACATGAGTCATAATCATGTTCTTAATCGTGTAATGGCAGAATCCACACGGAAAAGAATTCCTGTGGAGTGATTAAAATGAGAAAGCCTTTAGTTATCACTTATTCTATTAGCAGGTACCAATGCAACCTGGCAAGAAATCCGTAGAATGTAATCACTGTAGAAGTTCTTCAGAAAGAACCCTCGTCTTTGTACCAGGCATGGCAAGGGAGAGAAATGCGTAAATACACAACTATGTCAACATCTTCAATCATCTCTCAACTCCTGGGAGAAAACTCAAGAATTTAATGATTGTGGAGAAGCTTTCAATCCAGAGTCATTGCTTAGGAAATACTTTAGAACACTCACAGGAGAAAAGGCCTTCAGCTGTAACCAGTATGATACATCCTCCAGCCTACCTCCTTCCTTCTCAGGATATGAGCAGTACAAACTAGAGGGAGACTCTGCGATCACAGTGACTACAGGAAAAGGTTGGCCCCTAGTGTTCACAAAAAAGTTCAATGTGTACAGGAAAGTTTGAGGTGTAACAAACACAGGAAAGCTGGCCATTTGCCCTTCAAAAACATGTCAGAACTCACATCGGACAGAAACTCTGTGAGTGCAGTGATTGTGGAAAAGCCTTCATTTTCCAGTCTTCACTTAAGAAACACATGAGATCCCACACTGGAGAGAAACCCTATGTATGTAATCACTGTGGAAAATCCTTCAGCCAGAGTCTCATCTTAATGTGCACAAAAAACACACACTGGAGAGAAGCCTATGACTGTAAGGAATGTGGAAAAGCCTTCACTGTTCCTTCGTCCCTTCAGAAACATGTGAGAACCCACACTGGAGAGAAACCCTACGAGTGCAGTGACTGTGGCAAAGCCTTCATTGATCAGTCGTACCTTAAGAAACACACACGCTCTCACACTGGAGAGAAGCCTTATGAGTGTCATCAGTGCGGAAAGTCATTCAGCACAGGCTCTTACCTTATTGTACACAAAAGAACGCACACAGGAGAGAAAACCTATGAGTGCAAAGAGTGCGGGAAGGCCTTTTAGTAATTCCTCTTGCCTGAGGGTACATGTGAGAACCCACACTGGAGAGAAGCCCTATAAATGCCTTCAGTGTGGAAAAGCCTTTAGCACAAGCAGTAATCTTGTCATGCACAAGCGAATCCATACTGGGCATAAAGTCTGAATGAGAGCACTGCGAGAAAGCTTATGTGACCTTTCATGTCTCTCATTTTACAGCTCTCGCTGGAGAGGGCTGGGACATGGCCCAAAGGGTAGAGCCCTTGCCTAGCAAGCTCAGGGCCTTGTGCTTAGTACCATAGACACACACAAAGAAAACTTACACTGGAGAGAAACGGAATTGCAGAAAATGTGGAAAAAGCCTTGAGGCACATCTCAATTTAAGTTGTTCTAGGACAGGCGTTTTTATGATCTTTTTTATCAGTGTTTTGTCCTTAAAGTGCCACAACTATTAATGTGTTTAAGTACCAAAGATCAGCAAGCTCCACATGGCTCACATCGCAAAAGTTTATATGTAACATTCACATTATTTAACTATAGTATCGTCCAATTCCAATCAGATGTCTGGACCCACAGGTTATTTAAAAGTGAGTTGTTAATACGCATATCCTATGCATATGTTAATTAGCTTTCACTGCATTGTGAACAGAATGTGTGGTCTTCGTGGTGCTGATTCAAATTAAAAATTGTTGGAAACTTGATTTGTGGTGTCCTGTGATTGATAGAAATAGTTTCTGTTCCAATTTCCATTCCTCCTTCTTCTTTAAAGTAACAAAGCATACAGTTGGCTGGAAATATAACAATTTTCCAAGGGCACACTTTCCAACTTTCTTTATAACTATGGTAACCAAATGTGTCCATAGTCCTTGTAATGAGAAGCAGACAGCGGTCCCTGGTGGCTTCTAAGGAAGTTCATTCAAGTGGAAGAATTCTCATCTCACATTTCTCTTCCCAATTGTCTTAACCCTTTTTTTCTCTTAAAAATATTACCAAAACTAAAATTAATAAGTACTAAGCAATAATGAAGACACAATATTATCTCGGCCACTCCAACTCTGAACTTCTAATTTCACATTACGTGAGAAAAACGAAACTCCTTAACTGGTTTAAGCTACTCTTACAAACTGAGACAGTCCCCGCTGCTACATCTTATATGCAGTCAGAGTTCATGAATCCCTGAGCATGGTTGGAAACATGTGTTTTCTAATTGTTGGATATGACACATTTCTT